AAAAAAAAAAAAAGAAAAAAAAAAGAACATACGACAAACTCTCCAAGCAACCCAATAAATTCCCTGCATTTCTGCGGACGTTCATGCTCTTCGGGCGAGCTTCCCCAAATTTCCCCGGAAATACACAAATGACCGCAAAGCGAATCGATAACAAATTCATTCCGAATAACTTGCAAACGTGTGCAAACCGCACCATGTGATCGACGTACACGTATACGTACATATGTACAAGCATGTACAGGAAACTTGGGTTAATGATTTCAATAACGATTCCCGGTGATGAACAAGAAGCGAGTTAATTAGTACCGGTGGAACGCTTATCTCCGAATATATTCCACTGGTCAGTATTAATAACAAGCGCGCACTATTATAAGGGATGCTGTAGGTGGCGTGGCAGCGGGGGATGGATTAATCGAATCGAACACGAGTCGAGAACAGGAGTCGAGGGTAATTCGAAACAGGTGGTTGCACCGGCTAGCAGCGTGTTCGCTCGCTCGCCAATCCCCGTTACACCTGCTGCGTGCACTCATGGGGTCGCATTATGTGCAACGTCCGAGGTGGCGAGCACGATCGACGAGTAAGCGTGCGTTAGCATCTTAGCACGATGACAAGCGTGCGTCTCGTAATATATAGGTGGTTGATGGACTTTGGGTAATCAGGCGAATGGGCTGCGGGCTGGAAATTAACTGCAGGGTGAAAGTTGCATTCGCGATGGAAATATATAATAGAAGTACGTTGTTAGATTATTCGTTGAATCACAGTATGAATTGATATTTTGCGATGGAATTTGTTTATTTATTTTCAAAGTGAATAGATATACTTGAATTTACTGTTTCACTTTACAATATAAATATGCGAACGTTTTACCGTGCAATGCAAAAGTGTTGCTTTCGTACGGCGTTTCATTGGAGATGTTTAACGCGATGAATTAATTAACTTGTTAAACCATTGAAGAGCAAATTCATTTCATTTACAATTTGTTTCAATCAATGTTATCAAGGCTCTAGGCTAGATCAGATTTAGGTTAAGTTTAGATATATATTTGTATTACATTATATCACAATTACTATTTATTTATTTATACATTATCTTTAATTCCATTTTCATATTCACATTATTTATATAATTCTATTTCTTCAATATTGGAACTGCAAAAAGAAAACAGGTACAGGAATAGGATTACATCAATTTCTCCAAATTTTACAAATTTATAAAGTAGAGATGGGCAAGAAGAAACATGAAACTCTCATTTACGGCCACAGTATTGAAAAAAAGGAAAAAAATTTTATTAAATTTGGCGATTTAAATTGATCGAAAAACATTACAAACAAATTTGGTATATAACATTAGTCCTTAGTCAATTGACGACCATTATTTCGACAGTTATTTTATTAAAATCAACGATCACCCTTTTCTCTTATATTCCTTTGTATTTGTAGATAATATTTTATCGATAAAAGTATTTCTGAAATAATGTAAGATATCGACAAGAAAGGAAGCTATAAGTGTACGCAAATGTATAAACCCTCTCTCGAAAAAGCCGGTGGTCGTTTGACACCAAAGGTAAAGTCGCGTTCTGATACGCGTAGTCGAATGACTTTTCTCGAGCCAGGCTTTCCCCGGCAATAGGATATATAGAGTATTGGTTTCGGTGTTCAAGAGAAGACGAGGAGATTGAAACGGAGAATAGGGGGTGGATGAAGGTTATTGTACGTTGCGGGGGATGTATCGTTGGATTCCAAACGCGACTGTGCAACTCTCCCTCCCCCTGAAAACGTACGAAACGAGACCATAACTGGAAAAGATCATTCTGAGAAATTTATACGAAATTGGACGAATGAGAATTTTAGCTCCACAAAGAAGGATCGTTCAATTTTTAGGAACAATGTCTTCAACGTGAATCACTGTCATTTGCGATAAAACATAAAACTTATATCAGAGAAATTAAAGTGCAGAAGAAATTTTGTAGTGCAATAAGTAACACAAATTTTTTTGTATATTTCACGACAAAATCATACGCATATCGTAAAAGTTAGAAAATTTTTATGGAAAATTATATGAATTGATCGTTTCCATCACTCTGGTTGTTCTAGTGAAAATCGAAGAAGAAATAAATTAAATTTCATTTGTGTAATATTCAGTTTAATATTAAATTCATTTTTTTTTTCATTTTTAAGAAATTTCCTTTTGGAAAATAGTGTAGTATTGTAACACTACTTGTTACAATCATTTCTAAATTTTCTGAAACTGAATGAGCATCTTTGAGGAAAAGCGACAAGTTTTTCTGAAAATATATTATCGATATGTTACGCTTTTAAACATTTTTTTAGACATACTTATATATTTTCTGACA